CACAGGCTGCCCTCCTGTCCCATGTTTGTGCTCATCTGCTAGAGGTCACTGAGCACGGTGCTGTGACCGCAGGGTGCTGTCTCTTCATACTGTAGCCAGCATGGGTTGTTTCAAACGCAGGTGTTCCTTGGCTGTGAAATGTTTGTGTGAAATGCACATTCGGTGAGACAAATCTCCTTCTCGGTCCTGGTTTAATTTTAAATAAGGAATGTTTAGGATGTTACATGTTTTATTGCTCGTTCTGTGTTTGTAGGTGATGAAATATCAAGTAGCAGCTTATCTTTTCTGTATTTACTTGTGGTCTCCTCTTGATGGCCACATTACTGTATATTTTCAAAGCAGGTACAGTACCATGGGAATATGATAACAGCGTTTTGCCTTGTGTAGCATATAGTAAAAATTGGTCTGTTCTCTAAGGATCACTTGGAGTGTTGTCATGGCTCATTATTCATGATGGAGCTTGACAGCTCCAAGGTTAAACACACTGCTGAATACAGGAGGTAAAAAAAAAAAAGGCAGCATATTTTTGTGTCTGTGGGAGTTGTGCTTGCAGTAGAAGCAAGTGTATTTTGCTCAGTACAAATCTATTGCCCAAACATTTATAAAAACCCTTTTCCTGTTCTTTGCTGCTTTAACTCCTCAAACTTAGCTGGTCCAAGAGGCAAATGGTTGGTAACAAAGTGTCAGTCCTGAGTCTTGCTGCTGACCCCCACTATCCGTTCATGTGCCATCTTGTAACTGAGAAATAAGTTTCTGCAGAACTACTGATTTTTTTTAAATTTTTTTTTTTAATTCTTGTATGCAGGAGCATGAGCGTACAGGTTCGCTGCTTGCGACTGGTAGGGAACGGCAACTTCCCTGTGCAGATTACATTCAGTGTTAGGGTTCTCCAGTGAAGGTCATTGAGTAAATCAGAGCAACTCCTCATCAGTCCAGTGTGGCAGCTAGAACATAGAAACATTTATGCTTATGGCAAAATCTGTCCTATCTTGGCAACGAAAATTCATGCTGTAAATACATTTAACATCATGTGAGCCTTTAGTTCTTTTAGTTGAGGTCTCAAAGCTTGAGCTGTATGAATTGATGAGCTGCCATGGGCTTGCGCACTGAGCGTTCCGCAGAAAAAATAGTGCTTGTATGTTGGTTTCTCCCCCAAAACCTTTAGCTGGTGGTCTTTGAGACCTCTTCATAGCAATAGTCCTTTCTGCATCTCGGGATCTGCAAGGCATCAAGGACAGGATCCTGTGCTGTGTAGGAGTTGAGGAGTCTCATTTCAC